CTGATTGTGGAACAGACCATCAACTGCTCATATGCAAGTTCAACTTGAAGATAAAGACAATTAAAACAAGTCCACAAGAGCCAAAATATGATCTAGAATATATCCCTCCTGAATTTAGAGACCATCTAAAGAATAGATTTCATGCATTGAACACCAATGACCGAAAACCAGAAGAACTGTGGGATGACATCAAGATATCATCCATGAAGAAAGCAAGAGGTCATTAAAAGATGAGAAAAGAATAAAAGACCAAAATAGATAACAGAAGAGACTCTGAAACTTGCCCTTAAGCAGAGAGTAGCTAAAGTAGATGGAAGAAATGACAAGATAAAAGAGCTGAACAGATTTCAAAGAGCAGCTTGAGCAGACAAAGACAATTAGTGTAATGAAATATGCAAAGACCTGGAGTTAGAAAACCAAAAGGGAAGAACACACTCAGCATTTCTCAAGCTGAAAGAACTAAGGAAAAAAATTAAGCCTTGAGTTGCAATATTGAAAGGTTCTATGGGAAAAAATATTGAATTATGCAGGAAGCATCAAAAGAATATAGAAGAAATACACAGAGTCACTGTAATTAAGTGCTCTGGAATTCCCATTCCAGAACTGGTCAATCTTCATCCATTTCAGGAGGTGGCATATGATTAAGAACCAATGGAATTGAAAGAAGAAGTCGAAGCCGCACAGAAGGAATTGGCAAAGAATAAGGCTCCAGGAATTGATGGAATACCTGTTGAGTTGTTTCAACAAATGGATGCCCCACTGGAGGCACTCACTTGGTTATGCCAAGAGATGTGGAAGATAGCTGCCTGGCCAACAGACTGGAAGAGATCCATATTTGTACCCATTCCAAAGAAAGGTGATCCCACACAATGTGGAAATTATCAAATAATATCATTAATATTGCATGCAAGTAAAATCTTACTGAAGATAATTCAAAAATGGTTGCAGCAGTATATTGACAGAGAACTTTCAGAAATGCAAGCTGGAATCAGAAGAGGATATGGAACAAGGGATATCATTGCTGATATCAGATGGTTCTTAGCTTGAAGTAAAGAATAACAGAAAGATGTTTACCTTTGTTTTATTGACTATGCAAAAGCATTTGATTGTGTGGATTATAACAAGTTGTGGATAACATTGAGAAGAATGGGAATTCCAGAACACTTAATTGTACTCATGAAGAACCTATACATTGATCTGTAGGCTGTCATTCGAACAGAACAAGGGACACGGCATGGTTTAAAATTTAAAAAGGAGTGTATCAGGGTAGTATCCTTTCCCCATACTTATTCAATCCATATGCTGAGCAAATAATCCCAGAAGCTGGACTATATGGAGAAGAATATGACATCAAGATTGGAGGAAGAATCATTAACAACCTGTGATACACTGACGACACAACTTTGCTTGCTGAAAGTGAGGATGACTTGAAGCACTTACTGATGAAGATTGAAGAATACAGTAGGGATTACATCTCAATATAAAGAAAACAAAATTCCTCACAACTGGAGCTATAAACAGCATCACGATAAATGGAAGAAATATTGAAGTTGTCAAAGACTTCACATTGCTTAGTTCTACAATCGATACCAATGGCAGCAGCAGTCAGGACATCAGACAGAGAGTATAGCACTGGACAAGTCAGCTGCAAAGGACTTCTTTCGATTGCTGAGGGACAAAGATGTCTCCTTGAGGACTAAGGTGTGCCTGACACAAGCCATGGTATTTCCAATCGCCTCAAATGCATGTGAGAGCTGCACGATGAATAAGGAAGACTGAAGAAGAATTGATACTTTTGAGTTGTGGTGCTGGCGAAGAATGCTGAAAGCACCATGAACTGCTAAAAGAACTAACAAATCTGTACTGGAGGAAGTGCAGCCAGAATGCTCCTTGGAAGCAAGAATGAGAGTTTGTCTCACCTACTTTGGTCATGTTGTCAGAAGGGACTATTCTCTGAGAAGGATTCATGCTTGGTAAGGTAGAGAGTTGACAAAAGAGGGGAAGGCCCTCAACAAGCTGGATTGACACAGTGGCTGCGGTGATGGGCTCAAGCGTAGCAAGGATCACAGAGCCGGTGCAAACAAGGTGGTGTTTCGTTCTGCTGTGCATTGTGCTGCTGTGAATTGGAGATGACTAAATGGTACTTAACAACAACAATCAATATGGTGACTTTAATTTAAAAAATAAGCAAAAGTCACCTACAGGAATCATCACAAAGAATGTAAATACATAACAAACACAGAGGGGAACACCCTTGTGAGATATCATAAGGTGTAAAAGAAAATAAGACAAATTTACTTTTCAAATGGCAAAGGTTTTGTAATAATATTGATGAGGGTGTAGTAAATAGCTATTTAACTAAACTCTTAAAACAAGTATAAATTGGTACAAGTTTGCTGAAGAGGCATTTCGCAACATACATCAGGAACCTTGAAAGTATTTAAACCCTTGTAGGAATTTATAGAAAAGATAGAAGAAAAAAAAAAGAATTAGATATACACAGAGATTTATTTACAAGGATGTTCACCCTAGCATCCTATCTACCTATATGCCTAGCATATAGAAAAAATTCAATTAAAGGCAATTTGTCTAACAATTATTCTTACCCTCCATGGCCTTGGAGTTGTGGGACTCCATGGTGTAGTGTTGCTTAGTTTGGTGGATAGAATCCACCAAAGTTTGAGATTGCATAAGTACAATGGCCAAGATTAAGATTCCATTAACAGTAATGGATAGAAATCTTTAATATTGTTCTTCTAAAGATACATCACTTACCATGCACCCATCCCATCTTTTCCTTTTACAATTTTCTTAGCACATTCAATTGTCTTCTTTAAATCTGGATTCAGTAGAGCTGTGGAGAAAATAAGAGGAACCATACTATGCTACCATGTGACAGCTAAGTCAGAGTGATGTCAGGGAAAGTACACAGTGCTCATACCTAAAAAGGCTCCTAAGTGTTTCTAAGAATAAATGTATCCCTAAATATTTTTTAGACTATACTAGGAAGTAGCAGGATGTGGTCATCTTTTACTAAATACATTGATTTTTTTTCTCTTATAATTCTTAAAATCATTTTTTCATTATAGATAGATAGAGATATATCATATCTAGATATCTACATAACATTTAGGAGCTCTGGTAGCATAGTGCCTAAGGCACTTGACTGCTAACCAAAAGACTGGTGGTTCAAACCCACCAGCCACTCCTCAGAAGGAAGATGAGGCAATCTACTTCCATAGTGATACTGCCTCAGAAACCCAAGGAGGGGTCAGTATAAGTCGGGTCCGACTCGACGGCACATAACAACAACAATAGCATATAATATTTATTCCATGCCAGGCACTATGAGAAACAGTGGAGATATAAATGACAAACATAATAATATTATAATATATTATATATATATATATATTATATATTATAAATGCCCTCACAGATCCTTCAGCCTGGAAGAGGTTAGCATTAGAACCACTGATGTCCAGGTGATTCTGACTCTTAATGACCCCCCCAGGACAGAACAGAGCTGCCACATAGGGTTTTCAAGTTGATTCTGACTACTAATGACCCTACAGGATGGAACAGAACTTCCCCCATAGGGTTTCCAAGGCTGTGATCTTTATGGAAGCAGACTGTCACATCTTTCTCCCTGGAGCAACTAGGGGTTTGAACTGGCAACCTTTCCATTAGCAGCCAAGCACTTAACCACTGCACCACCAGGGCTCCTCGATGGAGTTATAGGCAATTATGATACAAGGGATATCTGGAATGATGGGGCAATGCAATATGATGTGGGAGTGTGTAGTAGGGGATCTAATTCAATCTTGAAGTGTCAGGGAACAGTTAACGGACCAAGTGACATCTACGTAAGGGGGGGGGGCGCGGAGTTGAGGAATTCACAGGAGGAAAATTGTTCCAGGCTGATGAGACAGTGTGGGAGAGGGCCCAGTGGTGTTCCTGAGGAACCAACAAGCCTATGCCTTCATCCTTCCTCTAACATTTCTTCCTTGGAATATGAAAACCAAGACCTCATACTTGAGACTACTGCAATACTCTCCTTCTTGTCTATACTACAGTCTCCTTTTTCCCTAATCTAGTCTGATTGCTTTTCCTTAAAACTTCACTTCACTGTCCCCTAGCTGCCTGTAAAAGAGAACTCCAAATCTTTTGCTTAGCCCAATTTTGCCAGCATGCCATTTCAGTTCTACAACCTTAGTTCCCATTGCTTTCCTCCATGACTCCGTCATTCAAGACATGTCAGGGGGTGGGAGGCAAAGGCTATGACCACTCAAAGGTGAATGCTCCACCAATGATCCTCTCAGTTGAGGGATCATATGCAATTCCACCTCTGGGACTTTGTTCATGGTTATTCCCCAACCTCAGTCTGCTCATTCAAACAATAAATACCAAACCAAACTCACTGCCATAGAGTTTATTCTGACTTATAGTGACCCCCTTTTGGGTTTCTGAGGTGGTAAATCTTTACAGAAGTAGATTGCCCAGTCTTCCTTCCACAAAATGGCTTGTGGGTTTGAACCGCCAGCCTTCTGGTTAGCAGTCAAATGCCTTAGGCACTACGCCACCAGAGCACTTTCTTTCAAACAATACAGTTATACAAAATCTGTCACTGATCACCTTGCCCACTATGCCCTCTCTCTTCTTCCAAATTCTTTTTAGGCCACTTTGATTCAGTACAGGCAGTTATTGGGTTATAAACATCTGATTTGCTTACAATCTGTAGTGATGAAACAACCACCATAAAGCTTATTATATTAAAAATTTGAGGTACATACAATGATTCATAATAACAAACAGGCACCACTTTGAGACATGAATCAAAACATTCTTATTATTACTGTATTGTGTTAAAGGGAGCTCTGGTGGCATAGTGCCTAAGGCATTTGACTGCTAACCAGAAGGCTGATGGTTCAAACCCACCAGCCACTCCTTGGAAGGAAGATTGGGCAATCTACTTCTGCAGCGATACAGCCTTAGAAACCTAAGAAGGGGTCACTATGAGTCAGATCCAACTCCACAGCAGTGAGTTTGGTTTGGTGATTATGTTAAAGATTTTTTCAGTGTATCTAGAAATGTTTCTTTAATATTTTTATGCATAGAAAGGTACTGTATACTAAGGTATGTACTGTATACTAAGACAAACATTTGATTAACTGACGATGGTTTGAATGGTTAGATACGAACCATACCTAACTGTTCCAACATATACACAAATTCAACTTCAAGACAGATGTAGAAATAGCTCTCCTTGTAATCCAGGACTGCTTATACTTATCTATTATTTACATACATATATATATATATATATATATATCTTAATCTTCAATTATCTTGTAAATCATACCTACTCCTCACTTATTGACTATTATTATCCAACATTTCACATTTATGACAACAGTTAAAAATCTGCTATCTGACTATTTTGCACATTAATGACATACATCTGTCAGTAACAAATGCTGAAGTGCAAGGCAAGAGTAACAATGGTTGTGATGGATAAATTATGTGTCAACTTGGCTGGGCCATGATGCTCAGGGGTTGGCAACTATTTATTGATATATTTTAGCAGTTAGATAATGAAATCATCTGGTGGTTATGTAATGATGTAATCTGGCAATTATATAATGATGTAATCTGTCAGATGTGTAATAATGTAGCCAACCTCCATTTTGTGATCTAACATGGTCAACCTCCATTTTTGCATAATGCCGATTTTTACATAATGAGCTGGTCTCAGAACATAACCATATCAATTAGTGAGGAATGGGTGTATTTGAATGAAGGAAAGTTGTATTCATCAAGCACCAAGCAATAGCAGGCACTGTGCTCAGCACTTTACATATACTGTCACATTGAAAACTCATAGAAGCTTTGTGAAGTAGGTATTATTATATCATTTTACAGGTAAGAAAACTGAGGCTCAAATAACACAGCTAGTAAAGAACAGAGCCAAGATTCTATTTGGTCTCAAAACCTGTGTTCTTTTTGTTCCCTCACTCTACCACACTGGGGAAGTATATGATACCTCTGTCTTTCCCACAGTACTTAGCACAGGGTCTAGCACCTCTTGCTCATTTAACACAGAATCTAGCATTTTTTGCTCATAGCACCTCACTTCCTTGTGAATCCTATTGCTTTGTGGTAACAGATTCTCAGGGAACACTGTTTTCTTCCTCTATTTAGAATATCTTCACTCTCTGGATTTTCTAGTTCATCCCTTTCATTGAGATGCAGCCCCTGAAGGGTCTCAGCTTTCGTTAGAAGTCTCCAATGCATCTCCCCATCATACTCATACCCTGTCTTGCTGTGGCCATGAAACCTATGCATTAGGCTACAGAGATCTGATAAACGCAGGGTCATCACTGGCTGCAGTCCTCACTTGCTCCTCTTTTTAACCTCCAGGGATTTCTCTTACTTTCTTGCCAGGTACTTTCAAAGATGGCAAAGTGACAACATCTGTTCCCCTTGAAGAAGGAGGTGGTGGTCTAGTATGGATGAAATCAGGCCCTGCTGGAACCCTGTGCTCCCACAGTTCAGGCTCAAATGGTCTTGGATGACTACAGCCCTCTTCCTGCCCCCTGATGAATTCTATGCACTTTTGGATATGAGTTTCCATTGCTCCATTCCCAGACTATTATATCTGACTTACCACAGCCCCTTCTCACTGTCTCCTCTGGGCTTTGGAAGGCAAGCCTAGCAATTGGATTCTGAAAGGTCATAGCCTTCAAAACCCTATGAAGTAGTTCTACTCTGTACACATGGGCTCATCATAAGTTGGAATTGACTTGATAGCAACTTACAACAGCAACAGCCCTGGAAATGCCTTGCCCAGGACTCTCAGGATTCCATGTTGGGTATATTCAGCCCACATCCTATCATGCCCTCTTCTTTCCTCCTCCAAACTCTGGCCATTGGAAAGGCACATCTCTGAGCAAAGCATCTCAGCTCCAAGTTCCCCAGCATGGAACAAAGGGAAGGAACCTACCAGAGCATGACACGTGGCAGCGGTTCTTGCCATGGTCACACCAGTCATTGTTCCGGATCTGGAAGAGGCCGTAGCCAGTGTAGTCACCATGCAAGGTGTCATAAACAGCCGTGGGGTTGAACTTGCTCTCAAAGTAAGCCAGGCACACCCCTAAGAGGAAACAGGAGGTGTATGGCTCTAAGGAAAGCTGGAGCTGGGAACACCTAGGCAGGGATGTGAGAAAAGGAGATGAGGAGAAAAGGGGGTTGAGAATACTCACAGTTTTCAAGACTGTAGCCCTCAAAGTTACTCAGCCCTCCTTCATGGAGCTTCTTAGCCACCTTGCAGCGTCCTAAGACCCGAGCACCACTTGGCACCATCAAATAACTAATGAGAGAGAGAATTATAGGTGCCTTCATCTTCTCAAGACTCTTCCCAGCTGAGGGCATGAGTGGCCAGGTGAGCAGGCGAAGTCACAGAAAATTCCTACAAGATCACAGGGACAGTGGTTCTTCTGAAGGAAAAGAAGAGGATTTGCAGGGGGAGGGGAAATCTGGTATTCAGTATGTATAGAAAAATGGGAGTCCTGCCTGCCATAACTGTGGTACTTCTTCTCATCCTAATCATTTGCCTGGTGTCACTGCAAACCTGGGGCATCTGAGACCCTTCCTCTTTTTGACCTTCTATTCCCTAAGGACATTATTCTCATTCTCATGAAGGTGCCCCAACTCCTTCTTTCCCTCTAGCAAAATCCATTGGCCTTTTCTTGGTTAGTCTCCCATTATTTCTCTTTGACATTGACTATAGATGCTCAATTCCCCTCTTCCCCCATATTGTTAAAATAGTACTGGTTCATAAAGTATATTTGGGAAAACAGAAAACAATTGTGCAATGGCCCCACAACTCAAGCACAACCAGTACTGTCGTATTGAAATATTTTTTATTGTATCTTGGGATATATTCAGAGTTGAGATCTTACTCCTAGATTTTCTACAAAAAAAAAAGCTTCACTGAGCTTTTTTCTTGCTGTTCGTACAAAGAGACAACCTTAAGTCCAGACATACCACTTACTAACTGGACAACAACCAACAAGTTACTTAGCCTCATAATACTTCAGTTTCCTCATTTGTAAAAGCAGAATAACTCATGATATTCTGCATGTAAAGACTGTGGTCCATCCAGTGCAGGACATGTCCCCATTAGGGTTAGCCCGTCTGTTTTCGATCATGTATAAAAATTGTTCTTAATGACTTCCTCGTATCACATCAAATGGTATACCGAACCAATATTCTTTTCCTGGGCATTTATATTGCTTTCAATTCTTGCTATTTTAAATGATAAATATTGTGATACATCTTTGATTATTTCTTTAAAGTAGACTCTAAAAATGGAATTGGTATTGTCAGGTTGATTCTGACTCATAGCAACCCTACGTACAACATGATGAAGCACTGTCCAGACCTGCACCATCCTTACAACCCTTACTATGTTTGAGCCCATTGTTGCTGCCACTGTATCAACCTAGCTCACTGGGAGTCTTCTTCATTTTCACTGACCCTTTACTTTACCAGATATGATGTCTTTTTCCAGGGACATGATAACATGTCCAAAGTACATGAGATGAACCCTCACCATCCTCACTTCTAAGGAGCATTCTGGCTATACATCTTCCAAGACAGTTGTGTTTGCTCTTCTTGAAGTCCATGGTATAGTCAATATTTTTTGCCAGTGAAATGGAACTATCACGTTGTTGTTGTTATGTGCTGTCAAGTCAGATCTGACTCATAGCGACCCCTTCTAGGGTTTCCGAGGCATTATCACTACAGAAGTAGATTGCCCAACCTTCCTTCCGAGGAGTAGCTGGTAGGTTTGAACCGCCAGCCTTCTGGTTAGCAGTCAAGTGCCTTAGGCACTGTGTTACCAGGGCTCCTATCATAGCAAATATCAAAAAGCATGATTATGGACCCCTCAGTATTCTTTCTAAAAGGTGACAATAATCTAGTATCCCATGGGCAATGGGTAAAAAGTGCTCCTCCCAGGGACACTTGTTTGCCACCAATTAATAAGTTAATTTAAAAAAAATAAATAAAAGAACTCTTTGTGATTTTCATAGGTTATAAAAGACAAATTACACTCCTTGAATTCACTGTGCTGAACTTACCCCACCTCCCGGGGCTCCTCTCTTGCTTCTTTCTTTATAACACTCTCTTGGATTAGCCACATTAGCCATTTCTCCCTCTGCCCTCACTCCTTTGGAGAACACATGTTCTCGTTCCAACCCTAGGAGAACTTGCAGCTTTGTCTCCAGCCCAGCCATCCCACTACCCCCTTCAGCCCAGTGGACACTTCCCTACATGGCTCCCACCAGTCCTCAAGCACAACATGCCTGGAACCAGATTCCCAGGCCCTGGGCTAGAGACCAGGTGATTTGGCAGGTGGCTGTCAATCTCCTCAGCATGTGTTTCTTGGACAAGTGTCTGAGCTTTTGATTTCCTTATGTGTTAATTGTGGATCACTGACATTGTGGGTTGATTGTTCAAGAATAAATTGTACTAATGTGTTTGAGTGCTCTATGGAATCTCAAGCACATGAGCATAAGAGGTTGTGATGCTTCATTTTTGTTAGTGGTCTCACTGCTTCTCTGCATTTAGAGCTGAGAAAAAAAAGACATTCATTTCCTCATACCTTTTCTTCGCTGAGCAAAATCAAAAGAAAACAAAAACTAGTTGCCCTGAAGTTAATTTTGACTCCTTGACAACCCCTTGTGTGCTAGGTGATAAACACAACTGGATGAATCTTCACACCCTTGAGCCAAGGTTCTATTCAACCTACTTTACAGATAGGAAAAATTTTAGATTCAGAAAATCTAATTAAGTTTACCACCATCCATCTGTCAGTTTGTTGTACTGTGGTGGCTTATGTGTAACTATGTTGCTGGAAGCTATGTCACTGGTATTTCAAATACCAACAGAGTCACCCATGGTGGGCCAGTTTCAGCAGAGCTTCCAGACTAAGATAGACTAAGAAGAAAGTCCTGGTGACCTCTTTCCAAAAATTAGCCAATGAAAACCTATGGATCACAACAGAATATTGTTCCATATAGTGCTGGAAGATGAGTCCCTGGGTTGGAAGGCACTCAAAATGCACAGTGGCCCCAACAATGCACTTGAGGATGACTACAATCATGAAGATGGTGGAAACATTTCATTCTGTTGTTCATGGCATCACCATGAGTTGGATGGAGTCAACCAATTCTGACAGCAACTAGCAATGATAATTGAATTTAACCCCCACATGTGGTAAGAGATGAATCTGGTAACTGGGCTAAACATTTTCCATGCATCCACAAAACCCAGGAATTGTCTAACTCACCTGGATTCCTCCTCTTTTTTAGCCAAATCATCACTCGGACTTCTGAATCCTCCTTTTGAATTGATCTTTGAGCTTACCCATCTTCTTCATTTCTGCTGCCACAACCTGCCCCATGGTCACTACAAGCATGAGTCTTTCAGGCTCCTGGGCTCCACCTCTCCAGACCAATTCTTTGAGGTGGCTTTTTCTACCATGATTGAGGAATGTGCGCAAAGCATATTCAATATGTTACTTTGTAAATGCTGCTAGTCCCAATTCCCTACCACAGCAAATCCACACCTGGTTTTCTAAGCCTTCCATAACCTGACCTTACCCTGCCCAGCCCCAGTAAGGAAGAACTGGTTCAGTTAACTACAGATTTTCACAATGGCCCCTCATTGTGCTTCTCTGCACTCTCCCATGCTGCTCCCCCAGTACCCAGTCACCTACCAATTCTTGCCTTGGTGCCTTAACACATGATTCTTCCCTATTCAAGGATCCTACCACAACTTTCCCCACCCAAATGTCACTCCATCTTCAGGCCTCCCACTCAGATGGCACTTCCTTGGAACCTGATGTGACCCTCCATGAACCTTCCCTCTCTGACCTCCTACTGCCCTCAGAGTCTATTCCATGACACCTAGCATGTGATTGTGCTGTTTTGTGCTATTTCCAATGTCCCATTCTCCAGACTAGAATGTGTAATTGGAAATTACAACAGATCTTCTCTTGGTATGCCTCACAGCCTGCAACACTCCATCAAGGTAAATCAATTGATCAATTAATTACAATATCCTTTTTGTCACAATTCACATATGTGTATCCCCTGGCCTATATTTATCTACACCAGGGGTTGAGAAACACTTGGCTCTATTGACATTTTGGGTCAGGTCATTCTTTTTTGTTGAGGACTGTCTTGTGCGTTGTAGTTTACTTAAGAGCATTTTTGGTCTCTAGCCATTAGATGCCAGTAGCACCTCCTCCTCCACTCCCCTCAACTTGTGACAACCAAAAGTATCTCCAGACATTGCCAAATGTCCCCTGGGAAACAAAATTACTCCGTTAAGAACAACTATCCTATATTAAATGTCTACCTTGGGCATTGGTAAAGAATACTGAAAATATCATGAACTGCCAAAAGAACTAACAAATCTGTACTGGAAGAAGTGCAGCTGGAACGCTCCTTGGAAGCAAGAATGGCCAGACTTCATCTCACCTACTTTGGTCATGTTATCAGAAGGGACCATTCCCTGGAGAAGTATATCATGCTCAGTAAAGAGGAGGGTCAGTGAAAAAGAGGAAGCCCCTTAATGAGATGGATTGACACAGTGGCTGCAATGATAGGCTCAAGTACAACAAGGATTGTCAGGGTATAGGACCAGACAGTGTTTCATTCTGTTATACATAGGGTCACTGAGTCAGAGCCGACTTGAGGGCACCTAACAACAACAATGAATATATGCATGTGTATATATATGTGTGTGTGTGTGTGTGTGTGTTTATATGTGAATATATATGTAAATTCATAAATTAGTTGCACTTTCAATGATTTGTTCAAAATCTCAAGCTGCATAATTAGTTACAGACACAAAATAAAGTGTCTATGAGAGCCTAGGGAGTCTCTGGATGGTGAAAATGGTTAACATTCTAGGCTGCTAACTAAAATGCTAGAAGTTTGAGTATATCTAGAGGCTCTGTGCCTCAGTTTCTTCACTGAGATTTAAATAGTGCTTGCCTAATTGTGTTGATTTGAATATGAAATGAGTTAAATATGCAAAGCAGTTAGAATCGTGACTGGTACATGGTAAGTGGTATAGCATTGTAAACTGTAATTAATTATAGGGTGTAACATGTAGGGCAAGCACTATGGAGGTAGTGAACAACTGAGATCTGAGGTGATTCTAAAGAGGATAATGTGGGCAGGTAGTCTGCCCGGGGTGGAAGGACACAGCAGTTAGCTGAAAGACGTGGTGGTGGGTAAGGCAGGATACCAAGACAGGGATGGAAGCTGGGAGAAGGGTGACCTACGGAGCCAGCAGGGAGAGTGGGTGGTGTGGATGGACAGCTG